ACCAGGGCTCCCTGTGCCCTGAGGCGTGACCCTAGCCTTGACAGGACAGATGCTGGGCTCTGAAGTCCAACCATCAAGGAGGTTCCTGAGGCCCCTAGGAAAGGGAGTGGCCCCTGTGTGAGGACCGACCTTCACCTGCTTGTGTGACCCCGTCCCCGCCCCACAGGCCGTTCTGCAGATGGAGCAGAGGAAGCAGCAGCAGCAGGCCCTCAACGCCCCCGCCCCGGGCCCCCAGGGGCAGCTCGGTTTCCATCCTGACAGAGGTGCTGGGTCTGGGCCTGGGGTGGCGGTGGGGCTGCCCTGGGACTCCTGGGTCTGTCTGAGGGAGGACGGGGTTCAGGTCTGGGACTCGCAGGCTGGTGGGGGAAGAAGAGGGGCTGGGGGACAGGACTCCTGGGTCTGAGGGAAGAGTGGGCTGGGAGCCGGGATACCAGGCCTGACGGAGGAGGGAGCTGAGAGACCCCGACTGTTAGGTCCCTTGGTGGGGACCAGGGCTCCGAGTTGCCTAACACCACCGTCCCTCCATTTCCAGATGACGCGCCCGTCCCAGCTCCAGCCGATGACCAGAAAGACGTGGACACTTCAGAAAAGAAATTTCCAGAACAGCCCCAGCTGGACTCTCAGAGCCTGTGATGTGCGGGGGCCCGGCCAGGTCTCCACCAAGGCTGCTGATGGGTGGGCAGGGAGCGCTCACAGTCAACCTCCCTTGGGGGCCAGCAGCGTGTGCGGCCTCTGGGCGAGGGGTGTGGGCAGGGTGGCGCCTCGGGCTCCAAGTCTGTGCTCCAAATTTTGTCCCCTCTCCGAGGGGCCTGCCCTTTCTGTGCCCCGCTGTCCTGGTTTGCAGGCTCAGCAGATGAGTCCAACTTCGGGAGACGCCTTCTGGCCGAGCCAGCCTCTGGGATGGTCTCACCTCACCTGCCCAGGTGTGGCCAGTCCACACCTGGCGCCACAGCTGCTAGCATCCTGCCAGCTGCCCGGGGCCCAGCCTCTGTGCTTGCTGGAGGCTTCACATGGTCCCTCAAGACCTTTTCCAACCTCCTGGGGAGCCAGGGATGCCTCAAGGACACTGTCTTCCCCAAGGGAGGATGGTTAAGAGCAGGGGGGGTTCTCGGCAAAGCTGGTCGGCTCTGATACGCAGAGCCGGAACTCTCTCCTCATCCCTGGCTTTCCCCCAGCCCTCGTGGCCTCTTGCCCCACAGTCCCAGAAGGGTCTGTCCCAGAAGCTGACCCTGATCCTCCCTGGGACACGCTGGGACCCGGCCCCGCCGCTGCGACCGAGGCCCCAGGGACTGGCCCTGCCTACCTTTCTGGCCTTGTCTTAGTTCTGTGCCCTGCTCTGGTTCCATCCAAATACATGTCCTGGAACGCTGGGAAGGTCCCCAGGCTGTGTGTCTGTGTGTCCTGCTCCCGAGGAGCCCCGCGGCCCCGCCACGTGCCCAAGCCGTCTTCCTCCTTCAAGACTCCGATTCAGGCATCATCACTTCTAAGAAACTCAGTCCTGGCATCTCCAGGAGTTCATTGTGTTCCCGTGCATATGCCCAGCGGCACCTGTTGGTCATGCAGGGCCCTT